TGCTCACTGTATGCAGACACAACGCATACAGAAACTGTAATGTGTAAAAGCTATCAGAATTACTATTGCCATAATGCTAGCTGCGCACTCATACTTAGTCAACAGCAAAGTGACGAGGAGGAAAATACCACTTAATATCCTCTCCAGTGTAACCGTTTCCTGCTAACGCGTGCATGTGCGAAGTGATCACGCCTCGCCACTGAGATAACGTGAGAACTTCGGAATACGACTTTTTGAAACCACAACAAAAAAACTGTTGGGCTAACAACAAGCACGCGAATGACATTTGAGAGCACAATGGAGCAGTATTGTACAACCCGTCAATCAAGATTGATGGGGGATGAGGGCGCAGGACCGATACATCGAGTGCTGGAGGTCGCACTAAAAAAAACCGACACCAAGTGTCCCTGGTTTGATCACACAGTGAGATCAACCCATCATCGTGTGAGCGATGTCACTAATTTGCATGACAGCCACTCCCCCGCAACGAACTGTCCTTATGTCGCGTGTATTAGCAATGCATTTGTTTTTAAATATTCAATTTACAGCCAATTATATTGTCTGTCTGCAACTATTCATTCATAGAAATGTCACTTGTTGTGGTGATGGCTGTCTGCCATTTCTGTCCGTCAAAACTGTCATTTCTGTCTATATGTACCCTTTTTGCTGGGGGAAAAAAAAGGGGGGGGGGGATTGTTTCTTTAAACCTGAGGATTTGGGCCGCATAGCTAATGCTGTCAGAACGGACTGTGCAAGTTATATTAAAGGGTGGGGGGTGTTAAAAAAATCACCAGCCTAATTATGGATTTGAATCCGGGCCTCCTGCATGAGAACTCTGCCTTCTTATTGATTGGGGCCACTAAAATAATCAGGTACAGGGTCTTTCCCCCGCCATGGGGCTCTCAGATATATTCTGCTAGATTTAGGTGGGTTAAAACTTAGGGAACATACTAGAGAAAATAATTTCAAACGCTATAATGAACACATTAGGATGCGAACTTCCCTCGTGGAAGTAACCACAGCTCGTCGCTGTACTTCAGCGTGAAGGAACTACAAGGGTTTATATGCTATCTTTTTCAACTGGATGTTGATTTCCCCTCTGGTCTCTGGGTAGTAAGACCGGACGCCCTTTATGAGTTATAAGTTAGATTATCTTCACAGCACCCCGGACACATCCATAGGCGCTCAGATTCCCCTCTCAACATTTTCATCAGCGTCGCGCGGTTAATAGTGCCAGTCCTATAACGGACGCCCGTGTGTATTGTTGCCCACATAAAAATCCCTTGCCAGTTTGTAATCGAAAAGAGTAGCCTAACAGCGCTGACCAGGCAACATTTTGAGTTAAAAATCTACACAAAATATTTCTGGATCCTCGCCGGTGCAACTGACTTCGTTAGCAGCAAGTATGTTAACACTTATGGGTTACACCCGTGTGCCATGATTTTGATCAAGTTTTTTTTTTTTTAAAGCCCCTACTTCCTTACAAGCAATTATTATGTAATTAGAGACCGAACAGGGTTTTTGGAATCTGCCATCCATGTTTATTATTTGAAAATCTCTGGATAGTAAACTTTTAGGTAGAATCCCGGAGAGGACAAACCGACCGATGGATTGAAAACTTAGACCTTATGGAAAGAAAGTCTTTTACTTCACAAGGGCCTTGATAGGCCAGAATCAGGAACTAACATACTTGAACTTATATAATTACACTGCTCTGGATATTATGTATATAAGTTGTACCCCACCAAGATATCACACAAGCGATAAACACCCGGTGACACAAAGTGCCATCATGCGGACGAGGATCACCTGTGAAGAGGTCCCGGAAACCTCGTTCAGCCGTTAGGCCATTTTTAAGGTCCGGCTATATTTAGCCACCCCCCCCCCCTTTCCCCAATACACCCCCTCCTGGCAAAAGCCAGCGTGCGGCTTCAGAATAGCTAAAAATTGCATCTTACAAAACTAGATGTAAGGGAGTCAACGTGGCATAGCGGCTAGACACCTGCCTGCAGATCGGAAAGTCGTAGGTTCGCTTCTTGAAGGAGCCGAGAATTTTTCAAAAATGACTTGAGTGGTTACCAGGTGTAGTCATGGGAAGTAAAGGCGACCGGCGTGACGCTGACCACATCAACCATCTTGTGCGTTTGGTCTATAAAATTTAGGTCCACCACTATATACCCCATACGCCTGAAAGTATTAGTATCATCTGCGTATAAGGTTACCGCCACTTGAAACTGATAGAAAAAGGGAAATCTATCGTCCCTTACATGGAAGAATACGGTAAATGCGTGTGAGTCCTTAGCATTTTGCAAACAAGCACAACAGTCACGCGTGGTGTCAAAAGTTTGTTTCTAAACGAATGCTAACAATTTGATGGACACCACAGACAGGATGTCACAGACAAAGATTCGAAAACCGTATGTAGACTTAAAGTGATAAATATAACGTAAAAATGTGACTAGAAAGCTTATCGGAGGCAATGGATAGGACGCACAAAAATACAAATAAACGTTTCGACAAAAGTCTTTAACAACAAAGTACTAAAAAAAAAAAAAAAAACACAAACTCTGGTCGGAAAACTAAAACGGACAAGAAAACAGAACTTCTAAAAAACCGGAGTTTATATAGTAAGAGTCGGCTCTGTGGCTAAGTCGATGCGAAAGCTTCGTAATGCCGGGATGCTGGGTTCGATCCCAGCTGCGGGCCATCGGCCTTGCGTTGGTTTCGACAGTGGTATCAAGAAAGCCGACCGTCCAAAAGCAATGACAAACTACGGGACGTAAATTTGCCTAGAAAAACCACCCATCATCATCATCACCACTATAGACACGACCATCTTTCTCCTCGTCTATAATCTTCCAGTCGACTCCTCCTGTAGCAAACCTAAAGACGAACCTGGGTCTGACATTGACGTACGCAACAAAGAAGAGAGCTGTGCTACATAAGTAGACGTACACCCTAGGCGTTTTAATACTTACTCTTAGTCCAGACTTCAACTTTATTGCAATCTGGTTTCCCAATACTTACTCCGTTCCTGTGCCAGTGATAATCAAATGAAATGTCCCTCACTTTCCCATTTGAAAAACTGTCGAACAAACAATTAGTCCTGCCACAATACAAAAATATGCGCACGCAGTAAATGCATATGACAGTTGCTAAAGGCGCCAAAGCCAACAGCCGCCACCAGAAGTGCAGTTTGTCGTTGATTGAAGTAATCAGGCACGATAAGTTGGTTATTATACACACATGTAGAATTATAGCACACGGTGTTTCACCAGCTCACACGTAAACCGGCTACCGAAAACACAGCTCACAGGGCTGCACCAAGCACCGAACTAAGTAGCTCAGGCAGCCAAACCGTAGACTCCTGTCCAACTGTGGAAACTACATTATCAAAGCGCCGTCAAAAGCAAAAATAACTTCGAAGCTTAACATTCTGCCATGCCTCATCCTCTGTTGGTCGTGTTCTCTTTTGGGATGCTGACATTAGGATTAACTCCCTTAAAGGTGATAATCAGATATGAGTAAATCCGACTAACCCAGCTCAGCACTATAAAACTGTAATTTAGGGCACCTCTGCGGTTACAGAGCTGCTTGTAGTCCAATATAGGGGTAGGATAATTAACGCATAGATATCTGAATGTGACAAATAAACACTGCAAATTTAATCTGGGTATAATTTTTTCGTCATTAAGACAAAGGAATCTTTGTGGCGAACAAAATATTCATCGTGTAAATATACTATTCTTTGTCAGCTCTCCAAAGAAGAAGTTTTAGTTTTAACACGAGATCTTTCCTTTTGCAGAACACAAAATTGCTAATGCTCCAATTCCGAAAACTTCGGCAAACTAAATTAACATTTCCAAGGGGATATTTTCTTGACTGCAGTTGCTAACTTCTTGACCACACCGAAAGTAAAAACTTGACCTCTCTCTTTTTTTCTATTTCCTGGTAACAGATAGTAAATATTCGGTCTCATTTACAAACAAGAGTACGACACAGATAAAACGTTGGGGGAGGGTGAGAAGAGGTCAGACCCCTTATAATTTCTGTAATCTGTTTCAAGTCGGCTCTGTGGCTAAGTCGATGCGAACACTTCGCTTCGAAATGCCGGGATGCCGGGTTCGATCCCAGCTGCGGGCAATGCGCCTTGCGTTGGTTTCGACAGTGGTATCAAGAAAGCCGACCGTCCAGGAAGCAATGGCAAACTACTGGACGTAATTTGCCTAGAAAAACCACACAACAGCCAGGGGCTGTTAGGGTTGGTTCTGCAACGTCCTGTAAAGGATACGCAACAACATTAACCTTAATCTGTTTCAAGACGGAACTCATACGGTGAATAACTCGTAGCCTGAAGCTATGTTCCCCACTTAAATAATGTAAACAGTTGTAATTCATGACTCTGTGTACACAGACTAGCTATCTATTCCATCTCAATTCGAACAAGGAAGCTGACTATCGATGTGTTGTTTTATTGTTTAAAGACTTAACTACACAGACTTATTCGCAAACATTCCAACATGAAAAATCTACTTACACATTAGGAAATTTCGGCTATCCTCCGAATAACGGGCACATATTATGGCGGCGGCAAACCCCTAACAGAGCCTCAGTCAAGTTTCATTTGCGCACTTCCAGCGACCTAATTTGCCGTTTTCCGGCGACTACCACCACTGCCGTAGGTATCCCCCGCGCAGCTCACACGTCTCCTGCAGCTTTACTCGTGAGTCCCAGCCATCTAGTTTAGCCCCAATCCACGCCGCGTGAGCCAATATTCAGAGGATAGCCGAAATTTCTTTGTTATAGAGGTTAGATATTCGGTCGCATTTTCAACAATACGAACAGGAAAGGTATACTTACTCTTGAAAATGTTCTTGTTTAAAGACTTAACTACACCGACTCCTTTACAAACATCTAAGCATGACAAATCTACTTACACAAGAGACTGGCTAATTATTCTTTTACATTTACAACACTACAAACATGAAAAGTATACTTACGCTGGGAATATTTTCTTGATTACAGACACCTTCACTAAGCAACCGGTCTCGAATTTCCCAAGCGAAAACACTGGGACATTCCCTCTTGTAATGCGCTATCTTCCCGACCACGTCGTTGGTGGCCACTCGTGGCTTAGATCCACCGATTGCACGGGGTCGAATACTTCCAGTCTCGTAGTATCGTCCTAAGATTTTGCTTACGCACCCATTGGAGACCTGTGGAGATACAGAATGTTGAATCAAGAATCGATATCATAGCACTCCCATAACACTCCATCCCCATCTTCAGCAGCAAACTAAGAATTTCAATTCCGATGGCACCAGTAACTATCTGATTGTATATCCGCCTCTCCCTTCCCTTGAGTGTTGAGCCAGATTCCCTGGTAACTTCTCGCAGTGCCATTCTCCTCAGACCGTAATGATCTTTTTGAACTTCCGCACTATTCACTCGCTGCCAGAGGACACTCACAACGTATAGTCTGTCATACATCAGTTCACCACCAAGTGGTGCAGAACCGGCCAGTCTATCTGCCTGCTCTTTTTCCAACACACAGGTATTAACTAGAAAGAAAATCCAAAGGATACTAACTACCCGGGACCTCTGAAGTAATGCTTGCGGAGATAGAGTTAACACGTTTATTGACAGAAATGGCAAGCCAAGTTTACATTTTAATGTTAATCAAATTAACCTTTTTTTTTAAACAAATTGAATCCCTACTTTTGTGAAACAAATTAATCCTTTTGCAGTCAGATTATTCTTTTTACAGATCAAGCTTTACTCCCCCCCCCCCCTTTTTTCCCTCCCGCCGACTGTCTTCGGGGGCTTTAATATAACCTAACGGTCTGGGACTTGTACCTGGGTGATCCTCATCCGAATGGTGGCACTTTGTGTCACAGGGTATTTGTCGCTCATTGTATGGTCTTGGTAGAGCTGAACGTCACACAAGGCTAGCTACCCCGTATAGAAGCGATTGTGCTGCATATGCCGTATTGGGAAACAAATGAATTTAGGAATCCAGAATGTCCGAGAGAAATCATAGAACCAACGTTGTTGAGAGAGGCAACGTTGTAACGATGACACAAAGTGACACTACTGCCTGTATTTACCATTTTGCAATATAAAGCTTTGGGCCTGAGGATGTAGAGCTTCAACAATCATGAGGATTTAGGGCCACTTGCTTCAACAATCATGAGGATTAAGCGCCACGTGCTTCAACAATCATGAGCATTAAGCGCCACGTGCTTCCACAATCATGAGGATTAAGCGCCACGTGCTTCAACAATCATGAGGATTAAGCGCCACATGCTTCCACAATCATGAGGATTAAGCGCCACGTGCTTCAACAATCATGAGCATTAAGCGCCACGTGCTTCCACAATCGTGAGGATTAAGCGCAACGTGCTTCCACAATCATAAGGATCAAGCGCCACGCGCTTCCACAATCATGAGGATTAAGCGCCACGTGCTCCCACGATCATGAGGATTAAGCGCCACCTGCTTCAATAGTCCTGAGGATTTCGGGCCACTTGCTTCAACAATCATGAGGATTTAGGGCCACGGGCTTCAACAATCCTGATGATTTAGGGCCACGGGCTTCAACAATCCTGATGATTTAGGGCCACGGGATTTAACAATCCTGAGGATTTGCGCCACGTGCTTCAGCAATACTGTTACTTATATTTTATGTTTATTACAATGAGTCAAGCACATATTTTTGCGGGAAAACTTCATCTGTAATTGTTAAATTTTATTTCTTAAAAAAAAACCTAATAATAATAATAATAATAATAATAATAATAATAATAGTGATACTACATATAATAATTTGCAAAAGAGCAAATTTGATTTTCAGAATGGTGAACTGTGACTGCTAATGTCTATCACCTTACAAACAGAAAATGAAATGAGAGAAATAGAAATCAAACAGAGATTTGAAGTGGCCATAAATATTTTTAACAATATCGCAAAATGTACTAAAATTGGAAGGGATCATCAACAAGACAAACACGAGTACTGTCGAGTGTTATCTATTTTCTGGTCTATAATTAGAAAAAAAAGTAAAGGACCCTTTTCCGAATTTTAGGCGTATAGGGCATATAGGGCTAGACCTGTATTTTTATAGACCAATCGGGACAAGAGAGTGATGTGGTCATCATCACGCCGGCCCCTTTTGCTTCTCGGGACTGCACCTGGTACCCACTCAAGGCTGGGTCGACCTGGGAGCCAATGTCATTTTTAAAAAAATGTCCGGTTCCGTCAGGGAGCGAACCCACGACCTTCCGATCCACGGCGAGCGTCTAGCCGCTCGGCCACGGCCACTCCCCCTCTGATCTAAAATATAACACACTAAATGCCTCGAGAAGTAAAGAGGGCTGGCCTAATGCCGACCACACGCCACGACTGGCAATCCGATGGGTCTATACAGATTATTCTTGCACTACATGACGTATGTGCTAATAATGGGTTGTTTAAAATAACTTAGACAATCAGTCAGACTGACATTGGACAGACAGATGGACAGACACACAGAGTATGGCAGGAAGTGGGAAGATGGCAATGAGACTCACCTGTAAAATACGAGATATGTCACAAGGCCTAGCCCCGCTGTGTGCCAGCTCGATGATCCGTTGGCGGGTGGTGTCTGGAAGCGGACGGCCGTTCACAAAAGCTCCCCCTAGTTGGTTTACTCCGCTGTGTCCTGTGGGATCAACAAGGCAACAGTTGCAAGTCTATCAGAAGTAGGTACATCGGTCGAACGGAGAGACAGCTTGGAAATAGAGTGGCAGGGGACATACCCTAATAGCTATATACACAGGTAAGTTATTCTTCAAGGGTGTCAAGACCAGTCAAGAGGAAAGAACCCGCTTTTTCAATAGGACGTCATCTACCTAATTCCGGACACGTAATTGACACACACACTGCTTTCCGTGTGGCTTACCGAACTCCGAAAAGGAGACTGTTGAGAATCGCCGAAGCTTTAACAATTAAAATCAACAACACCTTCCTTTGTAAGCAGACGGAATTATATTGTAAATTTGAAGTTACCCTGGTAAATCACGTGACTACGGTGAGCTTCCGGCGGCTAAATAACACACGATGTGTCGGAAGAAACTATTCGCATTTCAGTTGGATTTATTCAGTTTTGTGCTTCATTTAATGGTTTTGTAACTCTGTAGTAACGCACCTGGCGAGATAGAGCCAAATATGCCTGGCAATAAATTGTGCAATATATTGTTTGTGTCCGCATTATTTAAAAGTAAGAAAGCTAAAGGATTTTGTCTTCCTCACGCATTTAGCCCATGAGGCATACAGTGCTAGATTTATTTGTTTAAATCAATTGGCACTCGGCGAGTGTGGTTGTCAATAAAACGCTGACTGCCTTTACTTTCCAGGACATTGCCCCCTACCGGTTTTAATTTGAGGTCACCTTTGAAAGCAATCTCCGTCAATGCCAAATCGAGCGCAAGATGTTCTGTTCTATTGTTTCACATCCTATGCAGCTCACTATATGTCCTCCCCAACTTCACGATTTAGTTCTTATCTCCACGCGTTAATAATCTGCCTTTATTTCTATGACCATGTTGGTTCCGGTGTTTGTCAGTTATTCTGTTGCGTTGTCTGTTGAAAAAGACTGTGAACGAAAGGTTAGATTGCATTGTGTGAGTCTTATCTTTTCTAGCCATAGTTCCTTTTGTGTTATGTTAGGTCTTACTGATCTGTCTGTAAGTCAAGCGGAAACCACAAATTGTATTGGTATCCAGACATCAACAGCTGCGGGAACAGCGAATTTCTAATAAGATCACACCAGACGAACAAGGGATAAATTAAGAGACAATGGCGACCCGTCATGGAAAACAATAGAGATAATAAGATGGTATGTGGCGACACATTGTGTTTTGTACACATTGATGACAAAATGCAGTATTATAATTGTACGAGCTATAGACACGAGTGGGGCTTGTGTAGTAGAGGGGCTTATCTCTAGACCACATCTGTTCAGCATCGAGACGGATTGCTCCGTTGACCTAAGACGTTCTTAACAAAGCCCAGTGTTGTCCACCTCACACTATGTCTGTCTGCGCTGTCTGTTTACATATTAACATCGGCTTTATTCCGTAACTGCGTGTAGTTGCGTCGACAGTTTCTGTTGACTGTTTAATCAGCTCTCTCCAGCCCGACTCTCTAGTGTAGTTGGCTAAACCGGATTGCGCGGTGACCGGGTGAAGAACTCCTTGTGGTCCGGGTTCACGCCTGGTGGTAGGCAATAAAGCCACATTTCTCCCAGATTTAGGGTATTTACAATGGAATCAAGGCCGAAAGGTTGCGATATCCGTAATACCAAGCCTAAGGGTTAACAACTCATGGCTTCTGGATACTAAAACAAAGAAACAAACAAACATCAGCTCTCTCCACCTTTGGCAGTCAGTTGCGATGGACTTCATGGTTAATTGACTGAGGCCTGTCCAGTCAATCAAGTTCTGTAACCAAGTCTTTCTTGGTCTGCCTCTTCTCCTCTTTCCATCTACTAAATTAGTATTGTTTTTGAAAGTCCGTTATTCTTATTACATGCCTATTGCATTTTTCGCCTTTTACGGATCTACATATACATTTCTATATTTATACCTAAAAGCACTTCACAGTCACAAAAAGTATTTAGACATATTCTTCTTCATCTGCCTTAAATTCCCTAGTGGAGCATAGGCCCTCAACCATCTCACACCAAGTTGTTCTGCTTTTGCTATAGCATGCAGCTCTTCTCGTGTCCTCCCTATCTTTTTTAACTTCACTCTCCAGCTCCGTTCTCCGTGTGTTTTTTGGACTGCCTTTATTTATATGTCCCTGTTAGTTCCAGTGCAAAGATGCTCTAGTTATATTGGTTTTATATTTTTTTAACGTGTGTTGAATCTAACGCCAGCGTCTTTTCTTCACCTCTTGGTCGACTGGAACCTAAAACATGTTACGTGGGTACAATTTGAAAGAAACATTTCTTTATTTTGTAACTGAAGCCCAAACGAGGAGTACATAATGATAACATTGTAACATTGTCATTAGGGACAATTAGGGATTAGCAATGAGATTTCTCAATTAAGATGACAGTTTTTTTTTTTAAATTAAAAAAAAAATATATATAAAAAAAATCTATTAACATTTAGAAACAAAATGAACAGAAACAAGTAACCCATGAACATAAAGGCGTATTTTTTTTTAGAGGCAGGAAAAAGATACGATCTCCCACTGGCTTCATTTCGCCAGACAGAATCTACACATGTAGCATCTGATATGCTGGAATGAACACTGTGAGGCAACTGAACTGACATAATCATTGGATTTGTAAATAAAGATTTCAACCCCCCCCCCCCCTTTTTTTTTTCTAAAAACACTATCTGGATTTCGGCAAATAATAGGACTTTAGACACACAAGAAATACAGATCTGTTACAATCATCATCATCATTTTCGTCATCCGTCATCACCATTTTCGTCATCATCGTCATGGTCCTCGTCATCTCTGTCGTCATTATAATCTTACCTCTGGTTGCACTGATCACATAGTGATAGCACCCAGCTGTAATGGACCAGTCGTTAGCACTCGGTGCGATGTGGTCAAAATCATGATGACCACCTTTACTTCCCAATTAATATCTTGCTACTTCTTTCAGACTGGTTCGAACAAAAGTCCGGGTCGGTTTAAAAGCTGTTGCGAATTCGAACTTATTAATCCTCCTCCTACTACTACTACTATTACTACTACTACTGCTGCCGCTACTACTACTGCTTTACTTCTTCTTTTTCTTCTTCTTAATGTGCGTTTACATTTAAAATGCGGCTGGCACATTTTTGTGTCGTTTATGGCTAGCATGCGATAACAGCGCCTGTCGGTTTAACACACCCAGGCAAGCAAACCGCTTATAAGTGACCTTTTACGACATGCTTGTAAGGTAAGCAGTGAGTCCATGCTTCTCGGACACGGGGTCCGACGACTCACACCGGCAAATGCATGTTTAAATGCAGGAATGCATTTAGCCCCCACCCCCCCCCCCCAACCAAAACAAAAAAAAAAATCCTAGGAATTTACAAGTACAGCCCTTGTAAAATATGCACAGAAGGTACATTAAAGTGGCCAGGATTGTGTAATGTCTTTCGACCAAAAGTAAGCAGTGTGACGACAAATCTTCATTTTAACAGGGAAAGCAAATTCAAAATATGCCCTATTTGGAGCTAAAGAGTTAGTTAATAGTGTTGAATAAGGTTTAAAGTTCAACAGTGTAAGGACGAGAAGTTCTCCTTCGTTGCAAAAAATTTTTTTTCAATATGATCCTCTCTCTAGTTCTGTTTAGAATGGCGCTGTGAGGAGTTGCCAGGGGATCTGTCCGATTCTCAACACTCCAAGGAAAGGCTAGACGGATACACGATCAGACAGTTACTGGTGCCATCGGAATTGGAACTCTTCGTTTGCTGCTGAAGAAGGGGACGAAGCGCTGATGGCAGTGTACCGAGGCTATGTTATCGATTCTTAATTCATCATTCAACATTCATTCTCGCTCTGTCTCAGTCTCTTTCAGACTCTCTCTCTCTCTCTCTCTCTCTCTCTCTCTCTCTCTCTCTCTCGGCAGATAGCTAGCCGCCTGCTGAGGGTACAGCAAACGAAGCACGAGCTCCGTAAATCCAGCGACGATCCCCCGGGTTCTCCGTAAAAAATGCATTCGTGAACTGAATGAGGCGCCAGAGAAACGAACCTACGAAATTTAACACGTCGCCACAGAGACCCCTGGGTCTGCAAGAGTTAACTGTTTCACACAAAAGATATACAGTGGTCGGCGATCTCAGTGAAAAATGAGAACAGATGTACACACAACACGTACACCATTTCCGTACATACAAACATTTGCCGGTTTCCTACGGTGGCTTTTTCAAGCTAATACGACCTGGACGTAAATAGTGAATTAACAAGCATGTTTCCCCTGTCCTGTTGTCTGTGTGGGAGTTTGATTTCCCTGGTGATCATCCACAGAGAAGGTCGAGTTACCCAACGATCTTTACTATTGTAGCAAATGTTTGATTTGTGAAGAGGATCTCTTTCATTGCTCATAGGCTTCTACATAAGTGATCTAGTCTCCTTCTCTTGGACACACACAGAGAAATGGCGCAGTGAATGGACTTGGTCATACAGGCGAGGATGTAGCTAGTGTAGAATAAAGGGCGTCGACACGAAGAAAACATGGGGTGCGGCCGAAAAGCGGGGGGGGGGGGCATCAAAATCATTACAGTTGAGAGGAGGAGTGTCGGGGGGAGGGAGGGGGGTGGGGGAGGGGCGCAGTAGCCCCTTATAATTGTTTTATGGTGTGGTGCGAGGCATAAGGTTTGAGTGATAAATTAGGAACGTGTCTACATGTTAGAACGGAGTTTATTGCTTAGGTGTTGCAAACACGCTTCTTAATTCTGTAGTGCCAGTATCGATCCCAGATGCGGACATTTTGACAGCAGACCACCTTGCATTGGTTTAGAAATGTGTACTTACAGCCGACTGTTCATAAAGCAAAGACGAAGTACTGAATGCAAAATGTGAGCACAACGATTGATTTGTTACAATATATGTCGAGGCGCTGGTAAATCTGTAGGAATATATGTTGAGCCAATGCACTGTCAACACAGACACACAAACACACACACATACATATATATACGTATTTATATACCC